CTTCATGAAGTTACTACTTTACATCAGAAGATAGTGGAGATGTGGAACCTTCAGGCTGAGCAATGTTTGGGAGATCTGAGTTTGAAAAACGCCTCCCGCCGTGAGGCTCGAAGTCGGGGAGAGGAGGAGATGCGCGCAGCATGAAGAGCACAAATATTAGATAAAGTGTATAATTGCTGGCAGGTCTGGTCTTTGTTGACTGATCACTTAAACGATAAAAACACGGCTAACGTGACAGACGTAGCGACAATGTAAAAAAAAAAAAGCCGTAAAAAGGGGCAAATGCCGATGCGTTATGTATAGAAGTCAAAGTGTGCCACATAATTATAAAAATAAAAAGTTAACTATAAAATTTAAAAAGAGCTTCATTTATGTATATATAAATTAAAACTTTCCAAATATAATGAACATTTCTAAATAACGTAAAAATACGAAGGAACATCTGTTGGTCAGGCTGAAAAGTTTGGGAACTACTGCTCAAAGTGATATGTGAATATCGTTTTTCTTATTATATTATATGTGCAGTTTTCTAGGGCTTTTATGTTTTCTGTAAAGATTGGTACGCTTAAAATCATTTACTGGTTTGCATAAAGCATGAGGTTTTGGTTAGTAATTGATTGGGAGAATAACAAATGACTGATTTGGATAGTGTTGATCAGCCAGAGCTTTGTTGCCAGCGTTCCACTGCATAATGGCTTCTAACTCTTATATAAAAGTGTTAGTTATTTCGTAAAACATTGGATGAAATGACACAAACTGACTGAGCTCTAGTTAAGGCTCTTGCAATAGTTTGTTTGTGCATGTGTAATTGCGTGTGTGTGTGTGTGTGTATATTGGGGGCTGCACGACTTAATTTTTTTTAAAGTCGACAGTCAAGTAATCGAGTCGACTTTGACTAGTCATTGATGACGTCGTACATCTGAAGCAGCATGGGGTGGGGGGTCGGTAGGTTCGTTGGAGTTTTTGATTATTAAAATTGCACCCACATTTTCAAAGTTAAACACATCTCTTTTAACAACGGTAGTTTCTGCATCTATACTGCTCCGCTTCAGCCCTCTCCCCCTGCGCAGCGGCCGCAAACTCACTGATGCGCCTGCAGCCTCTCAGAGTTGCTGCTGCTCTAAACAGTAAAATAATTATTTCATTTTCTGTTCCTCACTTCTGATTACCCTCAGTGGTGTCTGTTTGTTGCAACCACCAGGTACAAAAACTAACTTGTTTTTATTTGACTATTTTTCTGTCCTGTCTGTTTATTATCTTCCTGCATCTCCTCTCAATCCTAAAGAAAAACTGCTACCTGGGTTCATTTATATTCACCTTATGAGTTACCTTTGAACTGCAGTTCTAAAAGATCTACCGACCGCAAAAACAGTGGAGTGCCGCTGCTCGTCGGCTGCATCAGTGAGGTGCGTCACCGGAGGACAAAACAGGTGATGTGCTCTGCTCCACAGCAGCGAAACGCATCAGGCACAAACAAAAGACAGAAAACATAAAAGGAAATGAGCCGACATGAACGATGGCGTGTTGAATTTGTTTTTGAGGTGGCGACACCTGATTTGATAATGTTACTGTAGCCGTGCTCAGGACGCAGATGTCTGGAGCGCGTCAACGATCAGAGCTTTGCATGCGCAAGCTGGTTAAGGTTAGGATGGGGGTAAGAGGAAGGTTAAATTGCAAGAGGGAAAATGTCACAATTTCATTTAATGTCCGTTTTACCGCGGGTGTCTCGTCACCTGCTGTCTTTTCCGAGGACTGCATCTTGTCGGTAATTATCACGTGACAGCGACTAGTCGATGAAAAGCCTAAAAAGTCACTACAGCGCAGTGAAGTTGACTAGTCGACTAGTTCATACAACCCCTAGTGTATATGTGTTTGGAGGAGGGTACATTGGAACTTTGTCCCCCCAGTCTGAAAATCCTATCTGCGTGCCTCCGACCACCACCAGCAGGCAAGGGGGGTTAAATGTCTTGCCCAAAGACACAACAACAGCGACAAACTGAGCGGGGCTCGAACCTGCAACCTTCCGATTACAGGGCAAGCACTTAACTCCTGTGCCACTGTCACCCCTGCCTTGGTCCAGAGTTCTGGACCAACTGAAGGTGGTTAAGTGCTTTTTGTTAAAACATGAAGAGTGTGTTACAGTAATCTAGACAGGAGGAGATAAAGGCATGGAGAAGCATTTCAAGTTCATGTTTAAAGCAGACTGTTGTACGAATACACACAATGACTTATTTTCCTGAATCAATATTTCTGTAAAGCTTATATTTAAAAATTTAATTTAAATGTTTGCATGATTATTTCTTCTTATTTCTTTCTTATTTAAATTTTTATACTTTTTTCATCCAGGGCGAGCAGCAAATTAAGAATTTTATTGTATGGGAAAATGCGTTTCTACTGTTCAGATGACAATAAAGGCTTCTTGAATCTTTTATTTTTATATTTAATTCCACAAGTCTGGTATTAATCAGGCCCGGGTGTGGTTGGTAATCTCCAAATCTAGATCATGTGGTTAATCACAAGTTATGGTTTAACTTCAATGACTTTTTCGACTTAAGTTTAACTCAGAAAAAGCTAAAACAGAATACATTCGTAGGGAGTGAATATTCTTTACGGTGCACTGTGTATAAGGACGCTTATCAGACTTGTTAAAAAAATCTAAAACTATGAGATCGATACTGATGAAAACAAATTATTAGGTGAAGTAGGAGGGTATAAAACTGAGTAGAAAAGTCTGCAGCTAATGGCCTCAAGACTCTTAGCCCACTCCATTATCACTCCTTAAACATAAGCCTGTTACTTAGCATAATAGTCCTCAAGCACCAGCACCTTTCTAATGAAGCACTCCAGCCCCATTGATTATCCAAAATGATAGGATTAAATAACAAGCTGCGAAGGTCTCATTGTGAGATGAGTGCAAACATTCAAAAACACAAATCAAAAGTAGGAGTGCATGCCGTCACGCACAGTAGAACTAAGGAAAATACTTTTTTAAACTGACCCTCGTCTTTCATCACATCCATGATGAATGAAGAAAAGTGATCAAGTAAAGAGCACATCATAAAGTACTTTTGAGAGGAAGCATTAGTTCGGTCTTGTACTTCTAGACGGAGAACATCCACAGCTCGTGGACGCGTGTCTCCTTTCTTCTGGATATGTGATCTGCGTTTTGTAGAAGCAACATCAGCAAAAGCAGAAGGCTCCAAAGTACAGAAGGCTCATACGCGTCTTAAAGCCTGATTCGTGCTTCTCCGTCAGCTCCACAAGGGACAGACACGCACGGATTGACGGAAGCGTTTTGCTCTCATACTTCTCCGTCTCCTGGAGAGTGTTGCAAACCAATTCCCCAGCAGGACAACAGAGGGCGTAGCGCTGTTCTGTGGTATCCTGTCATGTATCGGTCCAAGATCGTGTGTTTATATTGTGTTTTTTGTGTATATAAGAGACTTTTAACACAGACAAATTTGTCTCTCATTCTCCCACCTCTTCATGCGCTCCCCACCTCTAATCCCCCGTTTCCTGTCATTTCCATCCACAAATAAAACTCTTGCTGCGCATCTTTTCACTCCTCCAGTCACGGGAGAATTAAACGTTCATATTTTGAGTTTTTTCGCGAGGTCTTCTTCAAGCTGCTCCGTGTCTGTCGCTAGTTTTCTTCGGCTCTCTTTGCAATGGCAGCGCAGTAAACAACAGCGGCGTCCTGACCAATCACAAGCTTGCGTAATCCGTCTCGTTCGACGGATGTTTAAAAAAGTGGGCTCGATTCCGTACGTACTTGCATGCCTGCCGGAGCTCTACGCAAGGACGGATAATGGTGTTGCGTGTCTCCACACTGACGCAGACGGAGAAGCATAAATCAGGCTTAAGTCCACATTACAACAGACACACCCGGAATGGGCCTTTAATTCAAGTCAGCTGAAGCAAGCATAAAGAAGAAAAAGGCAAATGCAGGAAAACACTGGTGAATGTCACTCAGGTACACGGGCACTGTGGGTGATGTTATGAGGTGGCATAAATATTAAGGCATGCAGCTGGGAGCTAATCATGTTCATGGCTGGAAAAGGAGGATCTCCTGTCACAGTTTCTTTGTGGTTTATGAGACGGATGCAAACACAGGAAGCTGGAAACGAGATGGATAAAAGCGGAGTTCACACTCCAGCAAAACTGTAAGCATGTCTGGATGGATTGTTATAACTATTTAATATGGTGTAGTAAACTAAAGAGGGAAAACCTTTATGTTTACATTGATATTGACACTCTTTAAATAACTTCTGCTTGGGGGAAACAGTTAACATGGGGGTCTAGAGTTAAATGTTACCAAAATTTGCTAATAAATAAAATTGTAAAGAGCCAAAAAAAATCAATAGTAACCATAAAATTATTTGTAATATAACCTATGTATAAATGCATACATCTAAATTCATGTGCTGAAGTTTATGTTGCATTGTAAGAGTTTTAGGGTGAGACTTTCTTCTAAAAACATCAACAGACTTTTTCTTAATTACTTATTAAAACATATTAGAATCTTAAAACCCATCCTCCTCTGTTTCCGACTGCTTGGATCCTTTACTATCTTATGCAACTGAACCTCAGACCCTAATAAATCAGTCCAGACATCTGTTTTCACACAACGTTTTGATGTGGTGATGCTGCATTCAGGAAAATGCAGATTTTAATGAAGGCACACGGGGCAATCCTGTATCATGAGGGGTGTGGGGCGATCCTAATTCAGCCCAAGACACTTCCAGAAGAAATGGGATCACTGTTCAGGAAACATGTTGATTTCATGTAAAGTTGGTGTCAAGGTTTTAAAAAATGATTTGGCAGGAACCTCAGCCGCAAACTCCTTCAGTCTTGGGCATGATCAAACTAGCTGTTAGCATGTCAATCCGGCAAAAACGTAGGTAATTTAAAGGGCAGGTAGAAAAATCTGTTATTTATTGTCAATCTTTTTTTTTCCAACAGAACATCAGGCACACACAGGCTGACATGTTTTGACTCACATGGTAAAGTTCTCTTCCGTGTAGCACCGGTTTCTCAGAAGCCCCGCCCACAACTGCACGCCGATGATGCCAAAAATGAAGAAGACGAAGAAGCAGAGCAGCAGCACGTTGCCCAGCATGGGCAGAGTGTCAAGCAGCAGGTTCACCAGGATCCGCATGCCTGTGAGGAGCAGCGGGTGAGTTGATTAGAGGCAGGTTAGCACTTATGACTCCACCAATGAATCAGGCATGTTGAAGCAGAGAAACAACTAAAACATGCATTCTCAGCAGGTCTATTGCACACACTGATTTTGTGGTAAATATACGCTTTCAGTATATTTATGTAGCCCTGGATGTGAATTAAAAGAAACATCTGGTCAGTCTTGAACTTTAAGATTTGATTTATTTGATTCTACACCTGTTTAAGAATCTTCAAACATCTGTTTTGTTCCTAAAATTATTAGATGAGTTACAATTTAGCTAAAACTTAAAACTCGTGCTCTGTGTAATAACTAGCCATAGCGGAGTTTTGGAGGCGACATAAAAAGGTTGTTTTTGACGCCTTTTTGAATTCATGAGCGACATACCCCAAAGTTCAATCTTTAGGCCGCAAACAACTTTTAAGATCACAGACTCACAGAACTGCAGTGAAAACAGATCAAACGGGAGCTGAAGGCCGGTAGGGAAACAAAAACACAAAACCCACATCTGACGCAACAGTTTGAAATGAGATCAACAGCTTCAGAGCAGATAAATCAGTGACACTGACGTGCAGTCAGGCTACAAGAAGTAGTGGTCCTGATGAGATGAAGCTCAGCGGCAGAAACAGGAGCTCATTCCCCGTTGAATAATGATGACCTCATTTCCTGCTGATGAGCCTGTCTCACTGTGATGACATACTGTATTGTGATTAGAGGAACATAATGGTAGCTGATTGGACTAATGAGAGAGCGAGGTGAGACCTTTTGATGAGATCACACACACCGACATCTAAGAAAGGTGGGTCTCCTGTCACTGTGACAGTTCATATTTAGGTGTGTATGTCTTTGTTTGTGTTTATGTGTTTTAATTCATGTAGAACAGCTCAGTGGTTGGTTAATGTCACAGCAACCAACCTGAACCATAGCAGGGTGAATGACAGAAGAACGGCTGAGAGACAGAACAGAACAGAACAGGAAAGATGGTGGTGGTGGCAATGATGATGATGATTAATGGATGTTGATGATGATGATGATGATGGTCGTGGTGGTGATGATGCTAATGATGATGATGCTAATGATGAATGATGATCATGGTGATGGTGATGACGATGGTGATGATGATGGTGGTGGTTGTTGCTAGTGGTGGTGATGATGATGATTGATGATGATGATGATGATGATGGTGGTGATGATGATGATGATATTCATGGTGGTGGTCATGATGTTGATGGTGAAAATGGTAATATTGATAAAGATAATGGTGAAGATGGTGGTATTGATGATGATGGTGGTGGTTGTTATTATTGCTGGTGGTGATGATAATGATGATGATTGATGATGATGATGATGATGGTGGTGATGATGATGATGATGGTGGTGGTTGTTGTTGCTAGTGGTAGTGACGATGATGATGATGATGATGATGATGATGATGATAATCATGGTGGTGATGTGAGGATGATGAATACAGTCATAATGATGATGATAATTAATATTTTGATGATGATGAGGTTGTTTATGTTGGTGATGACGATGTTCCTGATGAATGATGATGATGATGATATTCATGGTGGTGGTCATGATGTTGATGGTGAAAATGGTAATATTGATAAAGATAATGGTGAAGATGGTGGTATTGATGATGATGGTGGTGGTTGTTATTATTGCTGGTGGTGGTGATGATGATGATGATGATGATGATGATGATGATGATGATGATGATGATGATGATGATAATAATGATGGTGTTTATGTTGATGATGATGATGTTAATGATCATGATGACGAGAACCATGGTGGTGGTGATGATGTTGATGGCGAAAATGGTGATATTGATGATGATGATGATGATGATGATGATGGCGATGGTTGTTGTTGTTGCTGTTGGTGATGATGATGACGATGATCATGGTGAAGATGATGGTGGTGAAGATGATGATGATAACCATGGTGGTGGTGATGATGATGATGATGATGAGGATAAAGACGATGACGATGACGATGATGATGACGATGATGTTGATGATGATGGCTGTGGTTGTTGCTGTTGTTGGTGAGATGATGTTTGTGGTGATGATGATGATGATGATTACTTTGCTGCTGCTGCTGCTGATGATCATCATCATCATCATGGTGGTGGTGATGATGGTGATGTTAATGATGATGATGATGATGATGATTACTTTGCTGCTGCTGCGCTGCTGCCGCTGCTGCTGCTGCTGCTGATGATGATGATGATCATCATCATCATGGTGGTGGTGATGATGGTGATGATGATGATGGTGAAGATGGTGGTATTGATGATGATAGTGATGATGGCTTGTGGCTGTTGCTGTTGTTTGTGGTGATGAAAATGATGATTACTTTGATGATGATGATGATGATGATGATGATGATGATGATGATGATGATGATGGTGGTGGTTTTGGTGGTGGTCGGCAAACTTCATGTGATCATCACAACATTTTCTATCAGACTGAAGCATCGATGAGCTTCAAACGGCACAGACTAAACAGGTTCGTGACCGTGAATTGAGTAAAATTTTAGCCAATGGGGTTTTAAACTGGAACATGAATACTCAAAAAGACGTTCTTCATGGCTTTTTTCTGCCATTTAACCAAAAATCAAACTTATAGAAAGGACATTTAGAAAGATTTTACCTTGTTATTTTTAGGGTAAACTTAAAAAAAACTGTGAAATTTTATCTTTTAATTGAGTTTAAACCTGTCCTTCATCTTTAGCTGATTTATCTTGTCAAATGTTAATGGAAAAGCAGCAGCAGCACTTCTAGAGTCTACGTGTCACCAGTAGTGGCTGGAGGCCAGTCTAAATGTCTTTGTCCCCTGGGGTTCTTGTCATTAGGCCCTTTGCTCCATTAGGCCTAATTGGCTGAAAAGAGAGAGAGAGAGAGAGAGAGAGAGAGAGAGGAGAGAGAGAGAGAGAGAGAGAGAGAGAGAGAGAGAGAGGAGAGAGAGAGAGAGAGAGAGAGAGAGGAGAGAGAGAGAGAGAGAGAGAGAGAGAGAGAGAGAGAGAGAGCGAGAGAGCGAGAGAGCGAGAGAGCGAGAGAGAGAGAGAGAGAGAGAGAGAGAGAGAGAGTAGAGAGAGAGAGAGAGAGAGAGAGAGAGAGAGAGAGGAGAGAGAGAGAGAGAGAGAGAGAGGAGAGAGAGAGAGAGAGAGAGAGAGAGAGAGAGAGATGGAAAGGATATGAAGGGCGAGGCTATGCTGGAAGTAGTTGTTAGAATAAAGCAGAAAAAGCACCTAAAACGTATTTGTTAAACCTAACAAAGCACCCAAAAATAACTTAAAGCTGTTTGCCCGTCTACTCTACCCATCTTGATTTCTGTCCAGCCCTCGTGACTGTCTTGTTTGCCAACTACTGCTGTTGTCAAATAAAGATGGATGCCTCCTCTTGCGCCACAGTAGTAACACATTTATAGCTCCCTGCCAGTGCGTTTCACTTAAGATCTCCTCTCTTCTCTACCATGTTTGTTGTCTTTCCTCCAACTGTTCTGTCTAGCACTGCTTCCACATTGCACCAATTTCCTCAAAAACAAAATCTAACACAGCAGCATGCATGCTCACACCACGCGCCACACGGCTATTATCCACCAGTTTTGAGGCAGGGTTACAAATTGAGGTGTGTGTGGAGGTCAGGATGTGTTCATACTGCCTTTGTACTTGTGGGCAAAGCATCAACCGAACTAAACTCAGAACAAATAGCCTTATCCCCTCGTTTCCTCACCTCAAATGGGGTCACAAAAAGAGGGACAGACTAAGAGTGGCGCACAGCTAACTGATAGCAACACAACAGTATGAATAAGGTAGCAGCACAGCATAGAAATACATGAAAACATTATGCACATGTCTGCTGCACGTCAAATATCCTTCTACACACAAACCGGAGCATCTAGAGATTCATACTGTGATGCATTACCATCTTCAGAAGAGCAAAATTGTTCAGAGCCTGGACAATTTTCTCTGGAAAACCAAAACACACTTTGCTGCATCCAATCCAACCACTTTGCTAAGTGCTTCTGCTGCCTCAAATATTTGACTGAACAGGTTCCTCCTTATTGGCTCTTCAGAACGGAGGTCTGTTTAACGGAAGGGGGGTGGAAAAACAAACTATTTATATTTGATTTCACCAAATCTGCTGAAACAGCCAGGAAAATAAACGCACAAGTGACAAATGTTCTAGTTCTACCATAAAGAAATTTGAACTAACATAATAAGATGAAAGCAGCATTAGCTGACAATATTAAAGCAATGAGTCGAGGTCTGAACTTTGCCCCACCTGGCTAATTGCAGACTTGAATGATTCCAAGCTGCCAATTACAGCAGTAGGACAAATGAATCAATGAGCCTCAGAAAGTTTGTCCAGGAGCTGAGAAGTAAATGAGAGGGATGGGGGGTTCAGTCACATGCTGAGCAGTGAAGCAGCATTAATGGGTGGTTTGTAAATATGATAAAGCTGTGACCCAGGGTTTGAGCTCACTTGGTGATTAAGCACATTATGAAAATTTAATCAGGCCCACCAAGAAAGGAAGTTGGCTCGAGGACGCAGGAAGGCAGAAATGTTGTACGAATGAAATTCATCTGCATGAGCTTTCATGAATTTGTAGCTGATGTGAAATGACAGAACGTATGAAAGCACATGTTGGGGTGATGAATCATGACAGAACTCAGAGTACGGCATGGTTTGGATTTTCTGCAGTGGTTTTCTGGGAAGTAGCTGGGTAGTTATTAGCTTACCTGAAGACAGAGTTTGAAAGAAACATTCACTTGTACAAGACAAAACACACACACACACACACACACACACACACACACACACACACACACAACTCAAAACAGCAGAAATGCTCTTACTCGGGACTCTGTTGATGGCTTTGAGGGGCCGAAGGACTCTTACAGTTCGGATGGCCGACAGGTTGATGTTCTGTAGATCAAGTGAGTACTCTACCATCCTGGATTTATGATGAAAAAAGACAGAAAGAGAAAAGGACAACATTATACACAGGGTCATTGCCCTATATGATCCCCATGACATAAAATATAAATTGAATTATGACTAATTAGAAACATTTTCTAATGTTAAAAGGCAATCATGACACTAACTAAACCCCAAAAATAACTCTTTTTTTGCTAACTAACTGTACAGTTAGGTCTTTACAAATGCAATCTTTCTGTTTCTGTGCATTTTTGACATGTTTGTGTGAACTTGATTAAATCTAGAATCCTAGGTCTAAACCCGTCTTAGTGCTACCCCCTGTGGCAGAACTGCAACTACTGCATTTTAAACTTGTGATTGACTGGGGCTGGAACAATTTCACTCATCGGGTGCAGTCTCCTCCCACTCCCCCTCCTCCCAGGATGGAAACGCCCCACACTTGGCCATGCCACTCTGTGCTTCCTGGCAATGCCCACTTTCATAGCATTTTTCAAATCTTGACTGGGGTGGAGTTACACTTTCTGATGGTGCACAGTACCTCTTTAAAGCTGCTTTTACCTAAAGCATTAATTTTTTTTAACTCAAAATTTGTAGTCATCTTTGACTTGTTTCATGGTATTTTAGAATGTTATGACTTAATTTTTCTGATTGTAATTTATTTCTGTTTTTAAGATCACTATGATTTTATGACTTTATGATTTTTTATCAATGTATGTAAGTAAGTAAGTAAGTAAGTAAAAGTTTATTTATATAGCGCCTTTCACAGATATAAACCACAAAGCACTCTACAACATGATAAGTGAAGCACTTTGTGATTTTCTGTCGGTGATGAGTGCTATATAAACAAAATTTACTTACTTATCACCTTTAAACCCACATTTTCTGTAATGTCCTGACATGAAAAAAATGTTTCCTGCGTATCTTTGTACTCCTTCAGCCACGGGTGAATAAACGTTTATATTGTCAGATTTTTTTTCGCGAGATGTTCTTCAATCTGCTCCGTATCTGTCACTAGATGTGTTCATAAGTAAGCTGTTTCCTGATCTCTGTCGGATATTTAGAAAAGTGGGCTGTCCTCGCCCGTCCTTGCAGGCCTGTTGGAGAGCCCTTGCAATAATGAATAATGGCATTACATGTCTTTGTACCGACGCAGACAGAGACGTATAAACCAGCCTATAGAGAGACTACTGCATGATTGCAGGACTGGAATTTTTGGGATAAGACCAGTGGAACCAGTCTGGTTTCAAATTATTTCTAACCATGCCATGCCTCTGAGGTTAGCCTCCATGGCATGGATACACTGCCCCCACATCCAACCAAGGACCCAGAAATAATACCCCTTTAATGATAAACTGCCAAGACCTCTCAACAAATGAAAGGCTTGTTTATTAAAAAAAAACTGTTAAAATGTTTTAGTCATGCTAAAGGATGACCTTGCCAAGACCCTGCAGACCATCCATGCTCTGTGGGAGTTTTTACGTTCTATAGGATCACCATCCAACAGGAAGGAAGCCTAAATGGCTTATTCAATTCAAGATGACATTGAATTCTCAACTAAAATAGACACACAATTTGAAATCAGTGGTCAATTTGAAAACTGTGCCCTGCCAGAGTGAAATAACAAAGTATCATGACGGTGAATAACATGAAAGAGATGAGAAAAGAAAGCCATAAAACGAGATTCATTCTATCTTAAGTGTTGCCTGCAGGATGATGTGTCTCAGTCAGAGCCTGGCATCTGTTAGCAAGTCATTTCCACAACACAGCTAAGCTGTTTGTGCCCCAAAACCAGAACCACTTTCACAGGAGAGCAGTCACAGTCCGCCCTGTGTGTGTGTGTGTGTGTGTGTGTGTGGTGTGTGTGTGTGTGTGTGTGTGTGTGTGTGTGTGTGTGTGTGTGTGTGTGTGTGTGTGTGTGTGTGTGTGTGTGTGTGTGTGTGTGTGTGTGTGCGTGCATGCGTGTGTGTGTGTGTGTGTGTGTGTGTGTCTAAAAGTGTCTCTTTGAAAGCGCCGTCAAACATCAACACAGTCACAGCTCAAGTGCACGAAGGAGTCGGTGTGTGTAATGAATTACAGAATAAACGGTACTTTTTGCACGTTTGGAGTTGCAATTAAGCACAAAACGTAATGTGCCGAGCATTGTCGGGGCAGCAGGATACCAACAACTGTCACGAGCTAATGACACGCAGAGCTTGTCGGCCGGCCTTGACAAAACAAGCTCACAGAGGCAGCCTTATGAACCATGTCATTTACAGTAATGTGATGCTTTATTGATCCCACAGGGAAGCTCCTTCCACTTGCCCTTCACAAGCTGCAAAGAGACACTTGAGTAGGATTAGTTCATCATTGGCACTTTATTCATGTATAGTAGAAAAATATCATAACATTGGGATGAAACCTAAAGGTGAAATGCTCTTTGATTCCCCCACCTACACCAACAGTCTTCATTTAATTTAAAGAAAATAGTGGCGAAAAAAGCTATTTTGTTGGGATGAAGAAATGCAATAGACCATTTTCTACATTTCCTTTCATCCAGCATCACTCGAAGGTACAGATTCGCCACACAGAAGCCTGATGAAAATGTCAAAAAGAGAGACGATCACAACAGTTGTTTGGGGCTGGGCTTTCCTGTCTGGGTGCTGTAGTCTTATAAAACCTGCATAAAAGACACAATGATCTTTATCCGATGTAATGGTTTTGTGTGGGTTTCTGGGAGCACAAACAGGATGTTTAAATGTTGAAAGGAAACTTTCAGGCAATTAAATCTTTCACTTTAAAACAATATTTGATTGTTTATATGTATTGGTTGGCAACATTTTAAAGTACAAATCCACAAAAATCAATATAAATGTACACAGGACCTGTGCTTTTCAATTCATTTTGTGGTTAAATGCGTGTGTTACTCTCCAGGGGTGTCTCTTCCTGTGCACATCAATCACACCACTGTGTTTAGGGAAAGTAATTAGTGGACTGCCCCGCCCAGATAGCAAACATTTTGGTTTTATTTTGGTTTTATTTTGGCATTAATTGGGCATTTTGGCATCCTTCTGGCACAAAAATGTTCGAAAAAGTATTTTGGTTTAAATGTGGCATAATTTTGGGTTCCCATTATAGACAATTACATCAGCGAGTGTTTCTGTTTTAACCGTGGCATAATTATGGTTTGCCATAATAGAAAATTAGGCGGCTGGCTATTATGGCATATTCTGGGTAGCCAGAAGAGAGCGGGACAGCGTCTGTGACTTCTGCAGGTGTGCTATGGGGTTATTTTGGCAAGCCATAAAAACTCATCAAATGGCGGGAAAAATAGTGATCGAAGACCGGGAATCAGGTCCTAATTTGTTCATTTCTCCTGCATCACGACAGAGGTGAGTACTATTTCTTCTTGAATCCTACCTTTTTGTTTGCTATAGTTTTGTTTTAGGTCTGTATTGTTTGTTTTAGCAAAATGTGATATTCGACCTCGTTCCGGGTTCCAGAACTAATGCCTTAGTTCTGCTAGTAGATAGTGGCTGTGCCGCTGTTTAGATGACGGTACAGATGCTAACTGTGGCTAATCTACAGCTAACGGAACCAACGTCTATATACGACCGAGTGGCTTCGCCAAAGGGTCACGCGGTTCGCTGCGGCTGCAGCAGACTGTAACGGTACCGGGTGGTAGAGGGCTGCATCGGGATTGGGTCCCGCAGGACCCAACACAAATCTTGCGGGGGAGGGCGGTGTGAATTTTGCTGCGGGCAGGAACGGTCGGCTGGATTGGGATGAGTATGATGGAGTCGGCAACTGATGTTGAAAAGAAGCTGAAACAAGGTCTTTATGACACAAAAACCAAAGCAAGGCAAGTCAGACATTTGGAGCAGTTTCTCCGATTGTGTTAATATTTCTCATTCAGGTCTCAGAAAAGTGACCTCGATCACTTCCTGATTACAGAGGATAATGGAATATGAAACGGCCTTGATTTCATTATCCCTTTAAGCACCACACAGTAGCTCCTTTAGGTTTTTTTTTTAAAGAATTTTATAGTTTAAGTAGCGAGTTGTTTGAAATAACATGCGCCAATGCGTCACCGGTGATCCTGGTGACGCATCGGCGTTAAAGGGTTAAAAACTAAATGAAAACAAAGTGCGTCAATCCTGACCAATGTGTTAAAAGACGTGCAGGATCCGATCAATTTGTTTTTCCCTCATTTCCAGTCACGGAGATAACGGCGCACTGGCTCTTGTCAATCAAGTTAAATTTAATCTCTTTCCAACAATTTTCACAAGAAAACAAAACAGTTAAAAGCAGGGCTTGTGTTGTGTTGACCAGATATTTCCCGTATTTGACCGTTTCTTTTGACGGAGAAAGAATAGAAAGAATACGCATGCAGACGAACTGACATTTTATTGCAGATGTAGCTAAATCACCCGAGAAAAGATTCCCATCTGAACATCTGAGCTGGACACTGAGCTCAGCGCAGCTCGCTGTCAGCGCATACATAAGGTGCACAGTGAGCTGAAGATGTGGAGAGGGGCTTGGAGCGTGTCGCAGAACCAGAGCGCATGCGGGAAGGTCAGAAAATGTTCCCTGATTATGAAACTTTGGCTGAATAGTGCTTGTTCCTGTCTCCAATGTGGCAACGCATCCCTGAGCCTGTCTGAGGAGAAGCCCAGAATCTCATGTCCTCTTCAGCTCAGAAAATGCCAATTACGCACAAGCGTGACCCGTCAACCCGGTCTCACAGTAAGACTGGGTTGGAACTGTTCAGGTTTACGCAGACAATCTTTACATTTAGAATTGACTTACAGATATAACATTAATTCAGTAAAATATAAAGCATTTTTTTTTAAATATCCATTATTTTACAAGCACAGAGAGCCGCACCAGATGGATGGAAGAGCCGCGGGTTGCCGACCCCTGGTATAGCCTATAAAATGACGTTTTCTCCAGGACCAGAGAGGACACAAACTCAATACATGTCTTTTATTGTGAGGTAATAATTTCTCAGAGTTTTGCGGTTGCAGGCGGGAGTAGACA